GGTGGACAGATACAGAAATACATCTGAGCCAGGTTTCCAGTGTCAGAGACCTCCTTCCTTGATACCTTGAGTGATGCTAGGTAATAGCTCAGCACATCCCCAGCAGCCAGGAACTGCTGGTGGGTTCACCTTTGTGCTGAAGCCCAGCTCCAGGCACAGCTGATTTGAGATAATACAGGGAACTGGGCAGTGAGGCTTGGCTTGGGCTTTGTGAGCCTGGGACAAGCCATGATCAGGTGCCTGGGAACAGGCTGGAGCAGTGGGTGAGTAAAGCCAGTTGGCTCTCTTGCCTCCAAAACACCCCTCTTGCCTCAGTTACGTGCCAAACCATTGGTCAAAAATTGCCCATCAGCATCCCCCCCCTCCCATGAGAGCATTTCCAGTTGCATTGGTTCAAAGCAAAGCCAAACATCTCAGCTCGAAGCTGGGTGTGGTGGGGTGGGCTGTCCCATCTGCCTCTCTCCCCCAGGGAGGCTGCTCCCCACCTGCCCCTGCGAGTGGCTGTGGGGTGCACCTGGTCTGCAAGGCAGCAGACTCAGTCTCCAAATGGGGATTGGAAAAGAGATTGCTGAGGCTGCAAAACTGCTGTGTTTACAGCTGCAACAAGACTTTGTTTGGTTGGCTTTTTAAACTAGATCAGGCCTCTGGGAGTCAGTGAGGAAGGCCAGGCACACAGCAGTGAGGGAAGGCACAAACTCTGGCTCTGTCCTGTGCCTCTCTTCATTTTTGGGCCATGGGACTGCGTGGCTTGGCCAGTGAGGCCAGCATGGGTACAGATATGGGCTGAGAGGGCTGTCCCCTGCACTTTCCAGGGCTCAGCATGTGGGACGAGGCAGATGCAAGCCAGAGCACACAGGCAATGGTTTGGGTCTAACCAAGCTCCCTCTGGGTGCTGTAGAGAATTTCATCTTTCTCCCTTTCTGGGAGCTCCAGTTGCAGCCCAAGTTCTCCAGCAAGGTGAGCCCAGCCAACTGCTCCTAGACCCACTTCAAAGAAAATGGAACAGCTGCTGGGGCACCCTGGGTGCTTGAAGGCACCCTGAGCTGCTGGCACCCTGGAAAGCCAGAGCTTTCCCAGGGGCTGAGCCAAGGGCTCATTGGAGGGGCCGGATGACTTTTTTCCCCTGTTCAGGAAAATAGTTCAGGAAGAGAAAACAACTCCCTTTTTTTCATGCATTCTTTACTTTCCTCACACCAGCCACATGCAGTGCAGTGGCTCAGTGTCAACCTGTGGTTTGCTGCTGCTGAAGGCAACAGTGAGGCTTTGCTCCCTCCACACAGGAGAGGGGCTGTCACCTCAGCTCTGCCAATGGGAAAGTGTACAGCACCAAGTTTGCTCACATAGAGCCTGCTGCTGCTATACTGAGTGCATGGTCTGTAGAGAGCCCAGGTGACTCTCTACCTGTGAGGGACAAGCAGGGCTGGGGCTGGCAGCAAGGCAGGGCCAGCTGGATATGACCTGAGCTCAGGCAAAGCCATGCAGTCAGGCATGAGTACCTGCACTAAATAAAGCAGCTATAGGTGACAGCACAGATACACAAGAGCCGGTATAGAAAGACCAAGTGATGGGAAGCTTGAGCCTTTGAACTGATGTCTTCCTCAGCCACTAGTTCCCCAGGAAAAGTATCTTCTGCTAGTGGAGGTGCAAGCAAAGACCCAGGGCAGGTTGGGGAGAGGGGACACTGATGTCTGCTGTATGGGCAGGGCACATGCTGCACTTCCGAAGGAGACAGGCAGCGGTGCCCACCCTGGTTTGATGGCGCTGCCTCAGTGCTGGCCCCAGTGCTGCCTGGCAGAGCCTGCCCTGGCTCCCCAGCAGCCACGTCCCTACAACCCCTGCTCTGAGACACAGCCCCGCTGGGGGCTGCCCTGCATGGCAGGGCACGGGGGAAGGATGCCAGCTGCATCACTACGTTAGCAGCAGTAATTAAACATTAGGGCAGAAGTAACCAGCGTTGTGCAGACTGGTCTATCCAGAGAGAGAGAGAGACAAATGCAGGCTGAAGAGATGAGGCAGGACACGGCTGTGCTCGGACCCCAGGCAAGGCTCTCTGTAGCTCTGGGGGACGAGGGCTGCCACCTGTGGGCACTGACAGTGCTGGGATTCTGTTGCAGGACCAGGAGCTGGAGAGCCTGGCTGCCATCGAGGCGGAGCTGGAGCGCGTCGCGCACAAGCTGCACGAGCTGAGGCGGGGCTGAGGCCCGGCGCCGCCGTGCCGGCGGAAGCAGCGCCGCGCCCGCCCCGTCCCTCCTCCCTCCCAGCGCGTTCATTTCCCGATCTAAGCGCAGTTCAGCCGAGCAGAAGCACCGTGCCTAGAACCGACCCGCTAGCCCAGGCCTGCCTCCCTCGCCATAGTGTTGTGCCCATCGCCGCTACCTCACCTCATGCTCCCCCCTCCACACGGCAGGGCGCCAAGTGCAGCCTCCATGTGTATTTTCTGTCTGGGTGGGGTTTTCTCTCTCTTTTTTTTTAAAAGACAGGACAGCTTTCTAGAAAGTTCTTTCACCGGTAGTTTCACTGGGTTAAACTGCAATAACTTGTTATCTTTTGATTAAAAGCTGAGAACTCTGACTGTAATATATTCTATATAAAAAATTTATCTAAGGAAAAATAAAACTGCGGTGGGTTCCTTCCTTTGTTTTGGCAGCTTCAGTGTCAGTGGTCAGCATGCTGTAGGGCCTGGACGGTCCGGCAGAGAGGGGGAATGGAGGGCTCCCCTCAGCACGGGCACACCGTGATGGTGCTGCCCTCCTTACCCGGGCTCCCCTCAGCACGGGCACACCGTGATGGCGCTTCCCTCCTTACCCGGGCTCCCCTCAGCACGGGCACACCGTGATGGCGCTTCCCTCCTTACCCGGGCTCCCCTCAGCACGGGCACAACGTAATGGTGCTGCCCTCCTCACCCGGGCTCCTCTCAGCACGGGCACACCGTGATGGTTCTTCCCTCCTTACCCGGGCTCCCCTCAGCACGGGCACACCGTGATGGTTCTTCCCTCCTTACCGGGGCTCCCCTCAGCACGGGCACACCGTGATGGTTCTTCCCTCCTCACCCGGGCTCCCCTCAGCACGGGCACACCGTGATGGTTCTTCCCTCCTTACCCGGGCTCCAGCGCCGCTGCCCTCCGGAGCCGGCACCAAGGGCGCTTCCCTGTGCTCCCAAGCACCGTGGGGCTCTCCCTGCCCACCCACGGACTGCTGGTGCCACGCTGCCCAGCCCCCGGCACTGGGTGTCCTGGGTGCTTCAGGGAGACTTGGGTCGCATCTGAGGCTCACCAGTGAACACAGAGAGAACACAGTTAAAAGTTTAAACACTGCACAGTACTTGACCAAGTCAAGCCATGTGGACAGCACATGAGCAGATTAGAAGGAAGAGAAATAACAAATAGGCCAGTCAGGAGGAGAACTACCGGTCTGTGCTCCCCAGAGGTGAAGGGCCATCCCGAGGAGATGCCACTCCTGTCCCTTGGCTCACAGGAGCCATGGTGACCAGCTGCCACTCTGCTTGCTGGCAGAACCTTTCCATCCTTTGGGCTTCAGACCACAGGGCAGCTGGAGGACCAAAGGATGCTTGGGTTAGGGAAACTGGCCCCAAAATCTCTAAGCACTGATAATATTTTAGATGTTCTATGCGCACTGGCAGAAGAGATCCACCCAACTGCCAGGGCTGTATTCCAGACTCCCCTGTCTGAAGCTCAGTTCTCTCCCATCACCTGCAGCCCACGGAACAGCTGACATACGCAGGGAATGGCTGCCAGGCTTTGAACTCAGCTTATTTCTTTATTGTGCAAAACCCCTCAGTACTGCTGGCCTTAGGAATGCATTACAGGGGGGGTGCATGATCCCAGAGGGGTGTGGAGTTCCCTGGCACAGGAGGTGCGTGGTACCAGAGCTTACCTCACCTATGGGATGAGCTTCCCAGGGAGGAGTAGGAGCTGCTGAGTGGGCACTGCCCTCACCCCCAGCCCTCAATGGCAAGAGGAGGTGTTTAGGCCAAGGCATGGCCCAAAAACTGCTCTGGCACAGGGCACAATCCAGGCAAGAGCCTGGCTGGGGAAAGTGCACTGGAGCAAGTTGCGAGTCTTTCAACTCTATCCTGAGATCCCACTCTTTTTAACATGAGGGAAACATGGAGGAACCAAAGTGAAACCAAAGGTGTTGCACAGAAACAATTAGGGAGTTACTCCAGCTGGAGAAATCACATTTTACATATTCATCTTCTCCTAAATTTTAATTTGAATACTGTAGGTATTTTTAATCTGAATATTGAATATTGTAAATAGATTGTATTCATATTTATTTCCCACCCCAGGGAAGTGGTCAGCACCAAGCCTGACACAGTTCAAGAAGCATTTGGACAATACTCTCAGGCACATGGAGTGATTCTTGGGGTGTCTTGTGCAGGGCCAGGGGGTGCACTTGATGATCCTGATGGGTACCCTCCAACTTGACATATTCTATGATTTAGTTTCTCCATTTTTGTGACAGTGTTTGCCAGTAGCAGCACGCAAACAACTCCTTGCAAACTCAGGCTCACATGTCACAATAAGTTCACAGAAACCCTCAGCCCCGCACCACACCTCTACCAAAGCAAACAAAAAATCCCCACCAAACAAAAAAAACAACCCCAAACCCAAGAAACCAAACAACCCCCACAGAAATGCAACCACATCCAAAGGAGTTAGACAAGTTTTTTCACAACGGATGGCAGCAGTAGACAGAAATTGTCCATATATGATGCAAAATCAACACGAGGAAAAATATTGTTACTTGATGGAGCAACTATAAATACTGTCTTAATTGGATATTCAAGTAATCACAAATATTTGGGACCCAAGGACTTTTTTCAGATGGAAAGATGGCGTTCAAGGCCTGAGTGTGGGGCTGCAAAACAACTGCACTCGGAAAGGATGTGAACATTGAATTCCCATGAAAACAGGCCTCCCCAATGAGCTGCTCACCTCGCTGCCCCAGCCGCTCAGAAAGGAGAAGCAAACTAGCGCTTGTTATAAGGCATTTATTTTCATTATGTGTTGGAAAGGGACAATCCTCTCTTCAAAACAATTACAGGATAATGCCACAATACCTACTGCATATTGCTTTACTGTTGAAACCAAAACAATTGTCCAAAACAGATGCTTGGCAAACAAAAAGAAAATTAATATATTACCATTGAAATGAATGCTGTTAGATGAAAGCACCATCTCCATTGTCTAATCCGATCAGTCATGCAATTGAAGATGCCAAATAGCAAGTACTTTGGATTTTACAGTAAGCCATGATCTTTTAAGGGTTGATATAATTCTATACAAATTTAGTAGAAAATGGGAATTATGTTTCAGAAGTCATAGTGAACCAGGCTGAAGCAAATCACAAGACACACTTGTTAACACTGTACAGCTGGATTTGAATGAACTTGCGAAACTGAGCACACGCACACAATGGTCCCCGACATTCAGCCGTGCTTGGGTGGGGAGCAATGCTGGAGACTGAAGGACAATATCCAACACTACTCACACCCAGAGGGCCAATTCTCTCACAGCTGTTGGGATCCCAAGGATTTGTTGTTACTCCATTTTAAGAACAACAGTGTTTTTAGTATGTGGTTGTCACAAGGGCATACACAAGCTGTATCAAATACTGCATCAGAAATAAATAATAAAAGATACACCTAACACATCTTTTATTTTTTAATATTTTTTTACAGCACTGACTTTACAAGAGGATAAACAACTCATTTTTAGGGGCTGCTAACATCTGAAACAAAGAAGTCACTATTTTATACTCAACATATTCTCAACACTTAATAACTTTATATATGTATATATGACTTTTCTCACAAAAAAAAAAAGTTAAAATAATTTATATCTAAAACTACTGTGTAAAGAATGAAGGAGGAAATAAAATGTAGGTTTCTTTAAAAATGTTGGAGAGGAAGACCTGATTTTCATGAACTCCATTTGCTGTTTCAGCCATTTTTGGAGTTTCAAGAGATTTCCTGGCCATCAACAAAAACTTCCCAACACATCAGGAGCCCTCTGCAAACTCATGACATGCTGGGTAAGGTCATCTGCAAGTGAGTTTGTGTGGGCCACAGACATCTGCTATCATCAGCCCCAGTGGATTCAGGGTAAGAATCATGGAGAGGAAGACAACATCACCCCAGATTGCTATTAAAAACCACAGAGTGAAATTCTGGACAACTCATATAATGATGTCCACAGGCCAGGATTTTATTCCCAAGCCCTACTCTCCTTCTGCATCACAGATAAAGGATGTTTTTCTCTCAATGGATTTTGTTATTTCCACAGGAAAGCTGCTTCAGAAGCAGGGTGAACCAGACCCCAAGAGCCACCTGCACACACAAGAGCAAACCCAATTTCTTTTGTGTGCTACAAATGCTACAAGTGCTTGTGTTGCTGAGGAATCACTTCAACATCTCCATTTATGTCTGGATGCTCCCAAACTTCAACCATCTCAAGTAACTTTTGTGGCCATGTAAATGTGACAGAATCCACGAAACCTATCCAGCCGAAAGCTCAAATGTTGATGGCCTGGATCCATAGGGTGAACAATGAAAGGAAAGGTAGTAAAGATGTGGAAAGTACTTTTCTGGAGGTTACATTCCTCTGAAATAGATATTAAAGCAATATTACAAATAAAATCAGCAATGTGATCTGCAATGGCATGTCCATTTTTCTATGAAAGCAAGAGGAGATTATATTAAAGGAAATATTTTTCTCTACACAAAGCATTTTCACATATTCCTAGTTACAAAACACACACCATAAAGTAATTGTATACTGAATACAGAAATACATCTTTTACTAAAAAGGAGAGAGGGAGGAAAAAATTAGCAGGGTAATGCAAGTGAACTCTCACAGATGTGTGCATGGGGAGACTGCTACAAACTCAGACTCTGTTCACTAAAAAAACCAAAATCCAAGATTTTCTGCACAGCTGTGGAAGGCAAAGCTACAAGCTTCTGTGGAAAAGCCTGAATCACTTGTCACTGCTGCGATGCAAAGACTTGAGCAAATCAGTGTTAATCTAAGAACTTAGAAGTCTGTATTTTTTAACTGGATGAAAACAATAGGATCATTTTTCCTGTTTTGCTTTTCTTTTTTTGCCAGGCAACACCTCTGGCCCCATTTATTCTGTTGCCTTTAGACTATATTCTGCCTCTACTATCTAGCCACTACTCCACATGGTTGTTCCCTGGCTGGATACTGCTCACAGTTCATCTAGAAAACTTGAGGCTTTATCTTGAGCAATTCTCATTATCTCCTGATGCCTCTGGGTTGGGTTCTTAGCTTGTAATCATCTACAGTGAGAACAAATTAAACTGTCTGTGCAACCTGCTGCAGACACACTCCCACATTGACGATGGAGAGCTTTAAACAGCTTTAACATGACAACAGTCTTTAATAATGGATTTATCCTACCTACCGACCAGCCCAGTTGATCAGCTCCTCAACACAAAGGTTGTACACCCAAACACTTCTACCAAAGGTAAAACATAACTGGCCCAGTGGTTCTGCATTACACAAACCACATGTGCTAGCACTGATGCTGATGGTTTGGTTGCTTTGCTGCAGTTGGCTTTTACATAATGATCAGGATATTCTGGCACAGGCCACAAAGTCAGGCACAAGTGGCCAAGTCAGGTAGAGGGGGAAGAGGGTGACTTTACATCACAGGCAGCAGTAATACCACTCAAGTACTCTCCAACAGGGAAAGACCTTCACCTGTTGAAGCTAATTATGTAGTTACAGTGGAAACCAGAGTCTCATTTCCACCATGCTGACACAAAACCTGGAGAAATTCCAGTCAAGCTAATGGTGTTCTTGTGGATTTCAAACAGTGAAGCAGAACAGTAATAAATCCCTAAAAAGCTAACTGGTGACCATGTAATTTAAATACAATTTCTCTCATCAGCACAGCAGTAACAGCTATGCCTCTGAAAACACAGGAGAACCTTTTTCTAACCCACAATAAAAAGAATTCAAACCAACATTATGGAAAATCTCCTCAGATTGTCTGCAATTTTAAGAGCAAGGGCATTCTGGTATGATCTAATATTACTACACTCCTCTACTTTACAAAGAAAGACAAGACTACAGAATATTAACAAACTTACTGTGAAGCTTGTCTTAAATCAAAACTATCCTGAACCTACCAAATGAGGCAGCAATTCAGAAAAGCACTTTAGCACAAGCTTAATAACATACTCATGCTCAAAAGTTTTGCAAGAACATAATTGTATGTCTGGATACTCAGTAATTTACAGTTTTGGCTTTTACAAATTGGTCTCCCAATTTGCCCCTGTGATTTAGCAACATTCTACTACATGAGCCATTACCTTAATTTCTGCAAGGAAATATAGAAGTACAGCAAATGCATGGTAATTTATGTCAAAACTCTATTGTAATGCCACATCACAACAGGTACCTGCATAACTGCACCTGGCAAATTAAAGTGATACCGATACATTCGATAAATAAAAAATAAATTACAGACTATGGGAAAAATGTCACTGATCACACCAATGACCTAAACTTGTTTTCTAGTTACTGCCAAGGTCTGGAGTAATATTTAAATATAGTATTTCTGCAAGCATTCAGAGAATTACAAAATAAACTTCTAACAATCATTTGTAAACAAGTTTAAAATGCACTATTATATTTCAGTAGTTTATTTTGGAGAAAAAAAGCAGTGCAAAATAGGCCAACCAAAATTCAGAAGGCAGCCAGGAAAATAAAATTCTTATTTGATGTTCTAACTAGGAAACAGCATACAGACATTTCCATTGGATCCAACACTCAGATTCATGTAAACATACTTAGTTTGAAAGGTCTTGAGTTAGTAACCCAGTTCTAACATCATTGCTTCATCCCCACCACCCGATAAAGAAACAAAACCCAAAAGACCAAAAAAAAGCCCAAGCCATTGTAACAAAGGGAGCAATAGGCAAGTCTACAAACACTCCACCAGCCGGTTACAAGAAAGTACCATACAAAAATATGCACTGGCAAGTTCCTTCCTGAGGGCATCTTTTGTTACACATGTAACATAAAAACACTTTTTATTTTAAACAAACAAAAACAAACCCCAAACTGTAGATGTAAAATTTATTTTAGTCATGGCTTTATGAAAGGTTTGGTCTACCACGAATACCTTTATAAACCCTTACCTATGTACATCTCACTCACTCACACCACAGCCATCCGAGACCTGCAAGCTGCAGACAACATGGGATCCAGCAGCCTCAAACCATACAAAGGTTGTGAAGTGTGCCCAGCTCAGAACTGATCTGCAACACTTGAGGAAGTTGGCTGTGCTTATGTGCACCCTGGGATCTGACTGATACTGTACTCAGAAGGTTCTTCATAGAAATATTTTCAAGTTAGTAATCCCTCTAGAGGTGGAATCATCTTCTTTTGTGTAAATCATTCTGAAAAATTCAATCCTGGCTACAGGATATTCCCAAGAATGGCATTTTGGAAGATGACTCTTCAAAACTTTTTCCCCTCTAGGACTGGTACCATCAGGTAGGGTGGTGACATCTTTTACACAGTTTAATCCTCTCTCCACGATCTACCTGGGCTTTAAGTTCTAAACCCTTTCTTTCTGAATAGCCATCTAACACATGATACTAACCAAGCTGGTATTAAATGCTGCAGTGACAGATGCTTTATGAACATGTGCTATAGAAAAGACAGAAATTCCTATATTTACAAGCTAGGAGCTTAACTAAGGAAATTTTCTTAACACCACCCTTCTAAAATGTATTTTAGGGCTAATAAGGGGAAGAGAAGGCCACTTCTACCAAAATAGTGTTTCTGTTCTTAGCACTTGGATATTTCCAATATAGTGTTCAGAACTAGCAAAAGTTGCAGGAATTCTCAACAGCAGAAGATGCTGCCATACCAGAAGATATCTCAAGAGATACAAGTTGGCTGTGCTATAATTTACAAATAGTATACAGCACTGTTGTAAATTACCATATGGTCTCGCCTGGCAGCTTGCAACAAAGTAATGGGGTCTCCAAGCTAGAGCTGTCCTGTATTTCTACCTCATATGAAGGTACACAATTTTGTTTATATTTTATAGAAAAAAATGCACAACAACATGAAGGCAGTGACCGTGTTACTTCTCAAGATACACAGATCAGGTGTGCTGCTCCAAGGAAAAAGCACAGCTCTGCCAGCCTTTTCCCAGAGCTGTCCCAGAGTCCTCACAAGTGCAATGGAAGGAGAATTAAACTCCCTGCAAAGAGACAAGCTGCTTACATTAGCTCTTCTAAGATTTCAGCACTAACAGACAATTGAAAGAAAGTATGTTATTTAATCTACTAAATGACTCAACCTAAATAGTGGCACCCTCTCTGGGTGAAACGTGCTGCTGTTTGCAAGTGTGGTTAGAAGCCAATCTGAGTGAAGCCATGAGCCCAGGGGGGAGAACTGCAGAGCTGGAACAGGGGTGGTCACCTTGGTTCTGTGCCCTGAATAAGCAGGCTGCTCTCTCCTACTCAAAGTGCAGTGGCTTCACAGCAAGCTACCTGCCAACATCATGACATGTCATGTTTCAAGAGATTTGGTTTAGTGATATTGAAGTTGTCCTAGCTTTCTTATGCAAAGGCCTACCTGGAAAAAAGAGGAACGGGGAGTTTTGTAGGCAAAAATCTCTAGCACTGTTACATTCAGACACTGCATTTCAACATTATTATCTTCTTGATACCATGAGGTCAGATTTTAAAATGCTGGTCACCAGTGATTACAAAGAACAATAGAAATGAAAGAGCAACCCTCCCACAATGAAAGGACTAGTGTTAAAACACGTGTGTAAACTCACTACAGATTTGCAATTGGAATCTGATGAAATGGATTTGGATCACTTTCTTGCTCTTCCCCTTTCAGTCCGTTTCATCAGCAAATTAGATTAAATCAAATGGAAAGTTCTTTTATTTTACTTTTTTTGTGTTGTGTTTTATGTTGGGGTTTTTTTCCCATATTTTTGTCAATTGTATTGTTAAAGCCTGATCTGGTTCTGGGACCACAATTTGTATCCCTGGGGCTTTTTCTCAGTCCATAGCATTGGCGAGTTATTGAGAAGAAGCTTTTGTTGCCAACGTAGCGACGCAGTGCTGCTGGAAGCTGGGGGACACTGCTGAGTTGCAGCCTAGTCTCTGGTGTTGCAGTTTTACTGAGCTGCTGCTCTCGCTCTCCACAATCCAGGAGGAGTCTTTTCCCATGACGCTGAGACAGCCTGTGCTAGCACAGCATATCCGCTCGTCCATGATCCCACCACTCTGCTCTGCCAGGAGCTTGCTGTGGTTTAGCTGGGTCACCTCAGGTACCTGACCCTGCAGGACAGCAGCTATGTGGTTCAGCAGATCTGTGAAAAATTCAGAAACACCCTCATAACCTGAAAAGAGAAAAAATGAAGGAGAGAAAAAAAGGCAATTTAAGCAATTTCCTTAGGTTCTTTGAAAGGCTTCTTTTAACAGTTTGTTTCTTGAAGTATCCTTGCACTCTACTGATCATAAAAAAGCTGATAAAAAACTACATTACATCATTGTAAGTGACAGCAGAAGAAGATTAGCATAAACAGGATCAGAGATTCTTGCAATAAAAGTATTTTTCCAATGAAAAAAACAATTGCCTTTCAGATTTGCTCCCAAGTATATATACACATATATAATTTTAGGAATATTCTATCATTTGTTGCCATTTCCAGATTTTTCCCTAAGTTACAAATTCTCTGGTATGATGTTGATATTTTCCATTTCCATTTCCATTTCCAGGTTTTCTATGCCAAGTAGCTCTGGTGCAGAGCTTTGTTGAAGGCCTGGACCCTCTCCAGAATTTGCCCAGCAATACCCTCAGTTAGGGAAACCTCAGAGGACAGGGCTGGCTTTATACTCTACAGAAAAAGCAGCTTCCCACTGAGCAAGAAGTGATGCTCGTCTAACCTAACCTAACTTGACACTTAAAACATGTTTGCAACTGTGTCTGAAAAAACACCCAAGGGACAGGAAATGTGTATCAATGATACAGTATTTGATAGAAACATCAGCCATTTATTTTGGTACTGAAACCACCTTTCTGCATGTTCTATTAAGTGATTCCAGACAATTTACAATGCAGTTTAATAACAAGTTTCCTGGTTAAAACAGTTGCTTAAATACCAGCAGACGTGACAGTTTTGGTGACACAAAGGGTAGCAGGTGTACAGAGCTTCTGGGTCTATTCTAAACACTGTGCTACAGGCACAGTTTTATCATTAAATTTCATTTTAAAATTGAACCAAACATGCAACATATGCATACAATGTCCTGAAATGGATCTTAACTGCTACTGCATTAACTGCTACTGCATTACCTAAAATTGTTGTCAGTTTGCCTTAGTGTTTAGAGGTAATATATGACATTCAGTGTTGTTTAATAGGATAGGCTGATTGTTTTGAAATGTCTATAAACATATTCTGTAAGTTACCTGGTATTAATACAGGAGTCTGAAGCAATAAGTAAGTTTAAAAGACCTATGTGAATAACACACATTCACACAGCAGCACATCAGCAGAACCAGAGACCACAAAGTAAATGCATACTTTAAAACATTTTTAGTGGTGTTATCACTGGGCAGAAGAGTTCCTCAGATCCATAACAAATTCAATTTTAATTTCCATTTTCCTGTAAAGGCCAACTTCCTTAGACAATAAAAAACTCAACTTTCCAGAAAACATGAAGTAAGACTATAATTTCACCTATAATAAATGTGGGGATTTTATGGTGTATTTATAAACCATATGTCAACCAATTAACTCTTATTTAGGCTGCTACATTCCTTTGGATTTTATTGTGCTTGGTTCCAGTTCTCCTACATACTTAACAGGTCACACAAAACATCAGCAATGTGAGACAACAGCTCACAGTTCTCCATTCTCAGAGGCCCCTGAAGGGATTCACCAAACAAATCTCGCATTTCAAAACACCAAGTTTCCCAGTGCCCCACATGATAATCCACTGGTCAGCAGGGGTCAACTAGGACTCCTAGGGCTGGCCATGGGAGTCAGAACAGGATCTCCACCCCTTGGACAGAAGTGCTTGTTACGCTTTCTTGCTTATGTAAAAGCCATGGGATTAGCCTTCAAATCTACTCAGAGTGCTTCAAACACCCCAGGAATAAGCCATCTCCATAGTAACAGCTTTAATATTCAGCAAGGAGATCCATAGTACCCCAGAGTGTTCTTTGTCTGCTCATTGAAAACAAACTAGCCTCGTAGGAGGGCACCTGGCAAACTCACAAATAAGTTGCTTTAAATATTTAATAGGAATAAGATGGCCAGTTATTCTGTCCTGAAATCAGCAGATGTTAGTGAAAAGAAGCTGTATGTAACAGGCAGGCTCTGTCTGCGTCAGCCCTCTGCACACTGGGTGGAAATGCTCAAGTAATTCTGCCGGGTCACTCAGAAGAAACTTCACAAACTTGTAAAAAGGAAATAGAAGTAAGGCAGGAAGAGAATTAGCTGCGAACTCTTGGTTCACAGGACATCTGGAAAGGCTGTGAACTGTGGGTATTGCCTCACTTGGTTCACTTAGGGCTCCTGTAGGCTTCTCAAACTAGTCACTTGTGGGACACCACTGTGCTGCAATGATAACAAAATCAAGAAGTGCAGGTTAAATTCCACCTTCAGAAACTACTGGCAGTGAATTTGGGATTCATGTTACACAGGGAATCAGTGGGAGGATGTAACTTTTGCATGCCTAAAACATAACTTGCATGAATCGTGCTCCAGCAGGTGCAATCTGCCCACTTGAAACAATTTTGGAAATGCCTGTCTACAAGACGTGTGAATTTTGCTATACTGAGAACAGTCTCAGAGTCCTCTGGCTGAGCATGGATAGGAAAGATGTCTACCCTGCAATGCATCTGAAAACAAGTGCCCACCTCTGCAAGCTTTGGTGGAGGCAAGAAATGGCTATGACCATTTTTAAGCTAGCATTACAATGCTACCTGCCTGATTTTTCAGAGATTCTCCCTGATCTGGCACACTTGGCTTTTCTGCATGTTCCCTTGGTCAGAGAGAAATGAACAGCCCATATCCTGCATTTACAGCAATGTTTTTACACTCACAAAATACACGTTCAGATTTGAGGCTCCCATGCAGATTCCCCAGAGCCAGCAGTTCACCTGCATGGTGACAGCCTGCAGCTGCTGGGGCTGGGTGAGCTCAGCCACAACCACAGGACAGAAGGTTACGTGGAACCTTTTCTCTCACTTAGGTCAGACAAACATAACTCCCACTATGTGACTGTGCCTACGGTTCAATATCTCAGCTGATAAACACTGCTAAATATAGTACCAGTAGTTTCCCACATAACAAAACACACAATAGGCCTTTCAGACATTTATCTTTAAAATCTTTTTAAAGAGTTGCTGTACTAATGGAGCAGATAACAGACAACATCCTCCTACAGGTACACCTGCTCTCAATTCTGTCATTAAACCCATCTCAGATGACATACATGGAGTGGCAGGTTCAAACAAACTTCAAGCCCAATAAACGTGGAAGACAGCACACAAGAAAGGCAGCAAACATCTGGATAAGGCTTTGGTCAGGCTTGGCCCCAAGACAAGGCTTGAGTTCCATGAAAGAGGCTGTGCATACTCTTTAAAGGACATCTCTTCCCCTCCCCTTTTCAGAGCAGTGGTGCAAAGATAGTGCCCAGGAGGGCTGGCTCCAGTATGGCTCTACTGCAACTCTTGAAGACTGTGATGATTTGAGGAAGAAGAGCAAGGGAGGGCACTTCCTGGGACTGCACTGAGCCAGGAACAGTGGGCTGATGCAGCCCACTGGTGACTCTTTTGAGGTGGGCTGAGTTTGAACTTCTCACTAGCAAGGTGCTGGCTCCATCAATGAAGTCAGTAATTTTAACTCTTCAGCCTTTAATGGCTCTTGGAGGGAAATGCAGTTACCTCTGCTGAACATGCTTTTGAGCAACAGGGTATTCTGTGCTGAGATGTAACTTTGCTTCTGTTGCATTTTACCCCATTGCTTCTTCTCTGACCTCAGCAGACCCTGAGAACAGAACTCATCTCAGTTCTGCTACCTTTTTATAAATTTGAAGCCAATTTTTTCTCTCCCCTGCCTTCTCTTCTGTATGTCTGGGCCCTGCTGCTATCCTCTAGTATTTCTCCAGCTAGTCTTCAGCCTATCCCACAGTGCTAAAGTCAGTAGTTACCATCACACAATCCACATGCTCACCAACAAAAAAATAGCCGTGTGAGACACAACTCACACAACAGATCAGTGCGTAAGAAACTTCCCTGTGTTCTCAACTCTCCTGCAAGGACTAAAACACTATTAATACAAAGTCCCCTCAAAGACCAATTACTGTGCAGGCTGAAATGCAGGACTTGGGCTGAATATTGAAAACTACTGCCTTTGGGTAGAAATACAGCAAAGCATTTCTGCAAACTTAAGTGACAACAAGAAGACATTGGTCCTGTCTAAATATATGTTTGCCACATTGCTGTTCCCCAATATGGACTTTTCAGTATTTCAAGAAAAGGAGAATTTCAGTCTGTGCAAAGTACTAAATCCAAAATAATACTTGGAAAAAACCACCCAAAACTGAAAACATGAAGCACCAAACCAAAATGCAGGATACAGGATTGCAGAAGAATGTCTTCTATCACTGACTTCAAGACCCACTGTCTGAAATATAAACCTATTAATAAAACTGATATGGTTCCATCTAACAACTAATTTAGGTTGTTTCACTGCCCTGGGCAGAAGAGTGTTTTCATAGTCTGCAAATTGCATAACACCATGTAGTAGAACCATGCTGGGAAGTGACCTGAGAATAGCAGAGCTGAGTTTTAAGAGGAAGCCAGTCACTGTGGAGAGAGACAGACAAGGCACTACAGGGCAGTAGGAATGAGGACCTGATCTGAAAGAGATTGGGAGCTCAGGACAAGACCTCTAGATATAAAGATGCCATAGCCATATTGAAAATTTAGTTTTCAATGACAGGTTAAAGAAACTACACAACAGCCTGTGTAAGGCCCTGGAAACAAACACCCCCATTCAGATAATGAGAGGAGATTCTTAGGGAGAAAACAGCATTAAATGGGATGATGTGTTCTTTTCCTGGGTTAGACTACTGAATTTAGCATGAGTGATAGACCATTACTGCCTCACCCTTATTCACACTTACAACTCCTTTTAACAATTCTGATGATCAAGGAGCATGTTTAGTTGTTTCCAAGATATATGTTGCATTAAAAAAGGTGGAAGACAAATGTACCCATTTCTACATTTCTGCTCTAATCCATCCTTTTACTCCAGGACACACTTACGTGAACCTGCAAGGACAGTAACTCTCCACAGCAACTTCTGTGCACCTACAATTTTATAATTTTCCGATTCCTGGTATTGCTTTTGTGCACAAATGTCTCTTTGTAGGGAATCAATTTGCATAGGAAGAAATTTTCAAGGGAACAGTTAGTTGCTTCCACCCCCTCATTTTTTTTAATGGCTCAGAGTCTCAAAAAAAAAAAAAAAAACCACAAAAAAAAAAAACAACCCCAAAAATCAGTAGGAGTGGAAAGGCCTTTCTTACCTGGGAATGCATTTATATCAATTACTGCATGCTGCCCAGTCTGGTTATTAATGATAATATCAATTCCAAAGAGGGAAACTCCCAGAGCTTGCCGCAGAGCTTTAGAGATTTCCCGGATGACGTCATCATTTGGCCGCTCAAATACTCCTTCGATTTTATCCAGCTAAAATGGAAAAAGACCCATTACTAACGGACTCTGAAACAGCCTTTTTAGTGGAAAGATTGATTTTCAGAAGTTTCCAGGTGCATATCCACCAAATCTAATTGCAGAGAACCAGTGTCATGAAACCGAGAAAGATACCAAAGAGAAACTACTTTCGTAATTTAAAATCCTTCCTAAATCGGAAATTCATCTGCTCTAAAGCATCTAGTTCTTCCTCTTCACACTGGTGCAGCTATAGAAGCAAAGCAGTATAGGAATGAATGGAGCATCAGACTCATTATTTTAAGTACTAGATCTACACCTTAAAAAACATATACAGGTGGCATATTTAACCCTGTGCTGCAAAACCTCTGGCTATCATTATTTCAGTGTAGATCAAGGTCTCTGTTAAAGGGTAACAGGATAGACTCCTGTTGTTAGTTTAATCTGAGTCATACAATACAACTCAGCTGATATCTTAAGGGCAGAGTATACATTTATGTGGGTTCAAATTATTTTGTAAGTATTTATTAAAATGAGTGACTTAGGTTACTTATGAATGGAGGATGCACTCTTCTTCACTTTTTAAACAGCATGTTACACAGCAGAAGTATGCTGTTATGCCTACAGAAGCATGACTGGAATACATGTTTATATTAATGAGATGGCAGGTAAACCACAGGACTCTCTAAGTCTGAAAGTAAATTTTTAGTAATGGCTTCTCCCTCAACATAACCACAAAAGGATTTATGACTAGCACAACTACAGTTTTAATATTTAGCACGCCTACCTGTCTTGCACACAAAATTCAAAATCAAATACAAAACTAGTCCCCAGCAGAGCTTGTGAAACAGAAAAGAATCCGAAGACTCAAGAGATTGAAAGGACCCAGTGCTGTAAAGTGACTTTCTCAGTAGCCAAGTGCTGGAGAACTTGTTAAGATTCATATATCCAAATCTTAGTAAATGGACTGTTAATGCTAGCATGAAACTGTGCAGTGTGCTGGTACTGATGGTCTTGAATGACATTCAGAAATGGTCCCATGGTCACAGCTTGGGCATGCTCACATGGCAGACAACTACTGGCCCTTTGTGGCCTTTGTGCCAACGCAATTTCTATGCTTTAATTTTCACTGTTTGTCTTTCCTCACAGAACTGAGTCCTAGAAGAATGATTTATGCTTATCAATCTCTCTGGACAGTAAAAAGCCAGGTGTTTTGATTTAGAACCTCCTTCTTCCCTTCGCCTAGATTAGCTCTGGGTAGTTTGGGAAGCAGCACATCCCTGCTACAAGTTCTTCCTCACCGGAGCTCGGTAAGGAAAATCAGAGGGGGACACAGTCATGCTGGCTCGTGGTACCAAACAGACCTCAGCCTGCAACACAGAAGCAGACAGCTTGTGAAAGAGAGTCACTAGCTACTAACACTTCCATAAGAAAGGATTAGATAGGTTTCCAGCTGAACTACAGGGAAAAAAACCAAGTGTACTTACTGCTGTTAAGACAGATGAGGACTCTGGTTTGGAAACATTGTGGCTGTTGAAAAATATTGATTCTCTGTCTGCAATTAAAAACAGGTTGTAAATAACTTTATAGCAGATTTTAATTTCCAAAGGAACAGTGTAAAGAACAGTAGGTGGCAGTGCAGCCCCAGGAATCTCATCCTGGTCTCAACCATCCAACCCACCCACAGGGCTCTCCTGCCTGCTGGCACTTGGCTGTCTGCACAGGCAGGGACCTGCAGACAGATAACCCACGGTTCTCGGACCACAGATAAATAGAACCACACACTGGGTAAACAGAAATCAGTTTTCCTTCCTTCACCAGAGCAAATTAACTAAGTTCAGTCAGATAATGAAGTTAATTTTTACTAATGTGCTATACTCAAAGTGACAGTTCCAAGGGGAAGGTGTGTGACGGAAGAGAGAAGCTGCAATCACTGTAGGTGGTAGGCCAGTAGCACCCAGGGTACACTGAGAGCCCTGGGAACCTGGGCAGAGCACTATGACCATGGCAGAAAGCAATACATTTTGTGGCTAGGACCTGTCTTTCTCTTGGAAGCACCACTGGAAAGCAGGAGACACTCTGAGGCGACAGAAGCCACTATTCTAACAGTTTATATGAACACAGATTCTGGCCTACTTAATTTAATCAGGACATACACCAGACCTAAATGTAAATACAGGCACACACAGCTACAGACAAGAACTTCCACCAGCATCTTACTACACCTATATTAACAAAATACATATTGGTGCGTGAAATGCAGTAGTGAGCATACATGGGGAGATACTAGGATTAGCCAAAAACACTAAGAAAAGTGAAAAAGAAAAAAAAACAAACCCAAAAACTGGCATTTGTTCTATCATCTCCTTTAGTTTGATCCCATCCTCACCTCCTAGATTTGTTCAGTTGCTATCAGATCATGCTTGCTCCCATCTATGTGCTACTAAGTTTTTTATACTTTTGGTGGGCCATAGAATGCAGTTCTCTGGAAAGGAGCTTTTTCCATAAAAGAATTCTAAGTAATCTTTAATGAAAACACTTCAAGTGTTGCTGTCTAATGACATACAGAAGAATCACTCTCCTCACTGACAAATCCATTCCTCCTTCTCCCCAGCAGAACTGATATCTACAAACCAAAGGACACTTCCCACCAAGATTTTCAACACTGGGCCTCACATGAAGAGGGGGGCTCATTTAGGGGAGAGCACAAGTGATCTTTAATTTAAAACACACACATATTCAAGGTAAAAATAGGGAGAGGAAGTGCTGAAATGATGGAATTCAGGAAATTCTCTCCAAAGCACATTTATAAACAAATTCCGGAACAAATGACACATGAACTTACTGTGAAAGGAGAGAACTTCTCTCCCTCTCCTCCTTTCCACATGACATAAAGCAGTGTCTAACAGGTAAGACTCAGGTTACCATTGCATAAATATTTACTATATGAATGCCATTAGTACATATTCCAGAGCAGGTGAGTTATCTCCCTTTCTATTGAAATAATACAGAAGAGGAAACATGCTATGTCCAAACCAGCTGCCTTCACTTCAGCAGTTTTTTCACAGATATTTTCTTTGGAGATGTTTCCTGCTGAGGCTGCAAGAACAGATATTTTCTTTTAAATCAGTACAACGTACCTGAGATGCCTGCAGAGAAGTTCTTTAAAGATGGCCTTTTCACCACAGTGTAAGATTCCCCAACCACGAAAACTTTATAGAGCACAGCATTGTGATTGATGAAGCTCTGAATGACACAAGGGGGACGAACAGCTTTGAGGCCTTCCTGGTTGAAGATGATCGCCATCTGGAAACACACACACATGGTTTTGCAAAAGCCTGCATTACTTTCATGCTTACCCTTGTTGACAAGCAACAAGGGGAACATCTCCTTTTCTGCATCTTGCTTTATTTCATTGTGTTTCATTTAACTGGCACACAGCTCTGCAAACACCACTGACAGTGAAGCTTTCATTTTCAATCAACATTTTCTTCACAGCACTTTGCAATTTCATTTGCTGCCTTTAGTTGGGAAACTAATGCAAGTGCAGGTACAACAAAGAGACAAAACACCTGACCAACACAGACAACAAAGTTTGTATTGAATACAAGCCTGTATCATGAGAACAGAAGGAACAGCTCTGTGCACTAATGACAAGAATTCTTCCCCACAGTTCTATTTCCCTGATTTGCTTCAGCCAACTTGCAACAGACTAAGCACCAGGGCTTCACCCACACCAGAGGACATTTCTCAGACTCTAGTAGTTCTTACTGCTAACAAATGCTGGCCTATCAATTTCCCTGCTTGGTTTCACCCCATTACTCTAAACAGATAGTCCTCTTGAAGGCACTGGAATAAATATGCTGAAAAGGAAGGCATTTATTTGGCTTTATGAATGATCAAATAACTACACACATGCACAATAACTCAGTAGTTTAACATTTTCTATGTTCAAGTCAACATATGCATTCAATACCTACTTGCAGCTGATATTCTTGCTGTCTCTATTATACAGCATAGAGTGAATTTGTGAGTGGTAACAACGTGCAAGAAATTTCTTTAACAGACAGAATCATCCATCAAAATGATTCACAGCAACAACAGCACAGCTCATTTCTCTCTTACTGATGGCAAGAAATATTGCTCTCTTCCTCCTCTTGTGTGGATTGTTGGCATTATAGTGTCTACAGCATCACACTGGCAAGAACTGTGCTGTTCCTATAGTGTTCTCTTCCACTATTAGTTAATTCATTCCCACAAATAAACATTAGCTGAACAGGTTCAGCCTATTTTAGAAGTGTGGAAAGCCAGAATTTATCTTCTCAGCCTAACACTGACCTAGGCTATTGGAAGCTATGTGAAGCCTCTACTCTGCAAAGCTCTATGCTGGCAGCCCCATGGACTAGCACACAGCCCATATAAGCCATATAAATCCTGTGGTGTTGCGTTATGCCGGTTCACTGCGATGTCTCGTGGTTTTTAACATGCATGAATAGAGCTCCAAGAATTTGCTTGCAGGGTGCACTTGCTCTTTGTCATCTAGCACAGACCTGCTGTGCCTGGCAGTAACATGGGTACAATACTTGATATCATAATTTCCAAATAGCATTTCTCATTATAAATGCAGAGCTCTTCTGAAGGCAAAACAAAACATTTGCACCAAGAATTTTTAATGACAATGTCCATAAGGAATTCAGTCTCACAAAACATAGTGATTCTCTGCCTTTTCCTTCTTGTCTGCTCAATGCTCAGAAAAAAATCTGGATACATTTCTTCAGGCTATGGGTCTCTCATGGTAGCTTTACCAAAGGTTAGTTATGTTCTGACCCGCTGGCAGCCAGGAAGCACAACTTCCAGCCATCATCTCTATTAAAGTTTTAAAAATGGTGCTGGCAAACTGGGAGTCAAGTGCTGAGCTGCTGAGGCCACTGCTAGTGCAGAGGCCATGTAGAACTAGGGACACCACAGAAAGGGTGACACCACCTCAGCTTGCACATGTACTCACAAGAGAAAAGTGGAGTCTGACAGCCTCAACTGGTGAAAACCAAACTCACGCACCAAACTTAAACTCAAGCCTGCACCTTCAGCTGTTCCTGTTAGCCAGTACTTGAACTTTCTTAACAGCCATCTTATGAAGAAAAGCAGGTTTCTGGTCAGTGCTCTAATTTCAGTGTCAGTCCTGTATTGGAAATATATCCACAAAATGTGAAGTGATTTACCAAAAGCCAGACAAGGAGTCATTAATAAAACAGACAATTTCTTGCTTCTAGACCTATGCTCCATATTTTAGACAGATTGTGCTATAAGCAGGTATTTATCCTATGCTTCCTTTGTAATTATTGACCATAAGCAATTCCAAAACAGTTCCACTCTGATCATAAATACAGTTTTGGATTAGCCCTGAGAACTCAGCAACTCCAAAACTGACTACTGCTACTACTATGTAAAGTATTATGCAAGATTTCAGGCTTTTTCCAGGGGTCCTCCTAAGCTCTCGTCATAAGTTCCTGTGATAAACTGCAGACTATGGCTGTATTTTAGTCTAATTTTTGCTCTGTCAGGAGGCTTAGATGTGTCTGCACTGTATAAAAGAAGATCAAAGAAAGATTCATCAAGGGAATAAAGTCCAAGCCTAACTGGACAAGTACTCAGAGGTTGATGTGTTTCAGTTTGCAGTTGCAGAGGAACTCTTGACAGAAGAATCAGCAGGAAAATTTGAGTCTTAAATTCATTAACAATCCAGTACCCAAGTGTTCTCAGGAATGACAGCAAAAATTTATAACAGCTGCTCCAGCAAACTAATAGGACTGTCTGTTTGCTTGTGAAATAAGCCAAGGTAAAGCCTGCCTAAAAAATCTTACTGCCTTTTTTGCTGGCCAGTCAAGATTTCAGCCACAGCCATTCTGCTCATCTAGATTTGCAATTTACTTGGAGACATTGCAGCAATGTCTCATAGTGCACGTTTCAAGAGCAGCTGGGAAACCTGGACTGATGGCCACATTGTTAACAAAGGAAGCCAGGAGTAAGGAGAGCCAGCAGCAAGGGCTGGATTCTCAAAACTGATCTGAACTAAGCAGGAAGGCAGGAAGCACAAATGGAAAAGAATTAAAACAGGACTCAACTCACTTAAATTTAGAGGAAGCTAATCTCATAGGTAATGCACTCATTCTGGGAATATACAACCATTTTAGCTGCAATTGCCTTACAGGAAGGCAGATAAGTTTTACCAGTCCTGCTCTCCCCACAGATCCCACTGTGTTATTACAACTGAACATTGCCTGGAAACCATCTCTATTTGTTACTCCCTTCCCCCTCAAGGAAAGGAGCCAGCTGCTCCATCTGAGGCACAAACCCACTTCTCATCTGTACCACATACATATTGGAAAAGTAACTTTCTGGGACATAAACTTTATTTAGTGACCTCTTACCAAAGGAGTGACTGAAGGAGATTTCTTGGACAAAGATGACTGGAGACTACAAACTGCTAGAAGCAACAATATGATGGAAGGTAGAAACTGCTAAATACAGCTTGCATGATTCAAGTCATAATTAGCTTCATTTTAGATTTTTTAAAAAATAATGGTGCAATTAAACATGAGGGAGATGTGGGGAAGAAAGGTTGTTTAGGCACAGCCCTCTTCCTACCAACTACAGGATTGGAAATCACCAGCCAAACCACCACAGGGGGAGTGGGGGACAGGACACAACTGAAAGCAGATGAATAATACTGCAAAAATTTTTAACTCACCTCATGCGAGTTGGTTCCATGGGCCACTCTAGTTTTACAAACTGGGTAAATAAAAAAGAAAAGACAATTCACCACCGAAACAGAACACACAAACCCTTTATAATCCTGTTCCCACCCACACATGCAAACACTGGAGTCCACCAGACCAAGGCATTAACTGTAACAGACACCAGTGACAGTCTTTGCTTGAACAGTGTCCTCAATCACTGCAAAACTTGGCTTGCTCCAAGCTCTACTCTCTCAATTCCTCCCTGTAACTAAGGTGCAAGCACAGGTCTTTGTTAGGACTGGACAGAGTTGTAAAGCATCAGCTAAGAAGCTAATATTCGTATTAGGATTGTCATCCTGTCTACTCAGAGAGAATTTTCACAACTATATAATTTTTTTTTTCTGAGGCTAGAGCTACTTTACAGGTACCACAAAACACTGGTGTCCTTAAAACAAAGGAACTGGGACACAGTCAGAATCAACTTATTTTCTTACCTCCCTGTTTTCAGGGAAGAGCAGAAAATGTAACGGACTGAACCAAACTAAGATAATTTATTTTTCACAGGCAATCATAGAGGAGGACAGAAATAGGCAGAAAGCCTAGCAGTTTTTATTTCTCCTTCTCATTTATCTGCTCTGTATATCCTGATTCTCACCTCCATCCTGATTAAGAGGAGGAGTAAAACCAGTGAGAGGAAAGAAACAACATGCTCCTTCTACTATCAGGCCAGAGAAGAGCTGAAGACCCTAGGGCCCACACAATGACTAAGGCTGATGTTACTTATGTGTTAAGGAGAGGACATGAAAACTTGCAAGTAGTGAGGGGGTGGATAGGACAAGACTTCTTTGCAGGTTGTTGGAAGAATCAAATTACCAGGTAAGAGGACAGGGAGCTATGAAAGAGAGATAACCTGCACTAGAGTCCAAAATAACTTGGCAACTTGAAATTTTACAAAATGATGTATGATGTCTCACAGACATGTGCTCTGGAGAGCTGGATCAATTTTAAGAAAAAATAAAAACAGACACATGAAAATAAAAAAAACACTCCCAGAATATCAAGGTGTATTAATTTTCAGTGCTATTTTGTAGTTTCATCATCATTTAGTGGGTTTGATTCAGACCTCCTGAACATGTTCTGCTGACTACTGAGGACTAGTCAGTCTGCACTGAGGGCACATTGTGAAGAGGAGGGCAAGGCCATTCCGTGGAATTTAAAGTACTGCTTCACAACCTATCTTCAGGAGACCTGTCTCATTTGGGACAGTGGTGGCAGGGAAGGCAAAACATGCTTTTTCCACACGACTTTACCTCTGAACCTTACAAATGAGGCAAGCACCAAGGGAACAAACATCAACTAATGATCCTGCTCACTTCATACTGCAAGGAATCAAATAAAGGAACCCATTAAAGCAGAAGTCCTGCAATGAAACTTGCTACAAAGCACAAACAGTTCATAGCAGCTGTTTGAGCTGTGGGCCCTTGGAGTCTGTTATCTGTGTTAACCCTCTTTTTTTTTACCCTCTAAGATTATATTTGTACCATGGACCAGGGCAAGGGAGAGGTGGGTAAAAAAAGAAGACAATCAACAAGGCAGTGATTTTCTCAAGAAAAAAACGAATGCAGCTGGCAAGAGAAACATCTTGTACAAGTTCAGGGCAAGAGGCTAATTTTGTTAGAACTATTAGCATTTGCCAGGAATGCATGTTTACTGTAGCAAGGTGTTAAAAGTAAGGAACAGCAATAAAAGTAAAAGTAAAAGATTATAGGGAGGGGATTTGTTCTACATTCCAAGCAGACTGCATCAGAGCATTTGTTTCAGGAAAGTTTTAACAGAAGTGAAACCCACACTCCTACAATGTTTGCTATCTTTTGGGGGGTGCATGTGCAGTATTTAGAACCCACTAGAAGTACCAAAGAAAATCTAATGTACATACTGAATGGGAATGCCAATCCATTCTTCTCTATAAGCTTCAAGGTATCTTCTCCACAGGCACTTGTCAGCTCCATAAAAGGTGGTGAACAGATCCTCTCATCTGCAAGAAAATAAGAAGACTCAGATGAAGATGAGGGGTTTAGCTCCTCAGCTGCAACATTACCAGCTCTCTCTATACTAACTGCTTCTTAATAGTCAGCTTATATTAAAGCGCCCAAAAGGACTGTAAGCCAGGCCTGAATTTGGGTTTCTGGAAACATTTCAGAAGATGAAAAGCTCAATTTTCATACAATCTAAATGGCAATACAAAGCCAGTATTTTCATAGGCAGCAGAAATGGTCACCTGCTTAGGAACACACTGCACAAGGGTTAGCCAATGAGGTAAAAGGCAACTGGGATCTTTTTATGTCTTTGAGCAAAATTTTCTAAAGCATTTTATAAAAACCAGAATGGTCTGCAAATGTGACTAGAATAGGCAATCTCACAAAGCCGTGTCTCCTGTAGGGCTCCTCAGGTGTCAGATTCCAGTGTGTATTTACTTCAGACAACATCCAGAACATTCTGCTGTTCTCTGGGATGGCTCTGCCATGAAAGCAGTTGGTTCATTTGGTCTGGCAATGCCAATCAGAGCATGTCAGAGATGTTTAGATATCATCATGTCAAGACTGCTCAGCAAGTTCTGGGTAAAGAGAAGAATCATGGGAACCATGGTAAAATTTAATGGAGGAGTTCTGCTCCAGAATGTTTCTGCCAATGCTGTGCTTGTTCACATGGGGTTGTGGGAAGGCTGGAGTCAAAAACCAGCCCTCTTAAATGACTCGATAGGTTGACTTGCTCTTCCTGTTCACTGTAGGAGAACTGAGATTCCCCAGGGAATGCAGCAGGAAAGGCAGAAACCACTGTAGGACTCATAGGACTTGCACATAAATCGCTTAAGAGGGCTGGGTTGCAATCTGAACCTTGGCTTCAGCCACAGCTCTGAGACAGGTCAGCAGGGCTGCAGGTTTTCAGACAAGCTGTGTGCACCTTGACAAAATTGACTAAGTCAAATCAAAGACATCACACAAGTATGAATGACTATTTAATTACCTCCTCAGCGAGCACAGCCTTAAAAAAGTACTACTTTAATGGAGTTTGAGCTGTGGTCAGGTTAACTTGGGAGCCACAAATGAGTTATAACTTGAGCTGCACAGTACTGAACACAATTCAGAACAGGTCTGCCAAGACTCGCTTTTTAGACTTATTTCAAGAGAAAAAGGATGACACCTTCCTCCAAGAAGCAACTGGAGACAAACACAAATGGTGGGAGCAACTGCATCTGGCAAACTTAAGTCACAGGTTTGTATCAACCAGCAACTTGTCTTAAAAATAAGCAAAGAATGGCTGAATTGAAACAAGTGGCGGCCATGCTGTGCAGATGGTGCAGAAACTGAAAAGTACATGTGAACTAAAACCCCAGCAAAACTAAACATAACTCTGAGACAGACATGCATTCATAAATCCCTTTATAAACATTGTTTGGATTAATACTTTTCACTTCATTGTAAGTACATCTATAAAGAAAACTGAATCACTGAAAGTAACGGAGAAGCAAAACTCTCTATATTTTGGTACACATATCTCAATACATCCCCAAACTTTTGGAATATCTGAGAACTCTGTTCATTAGCAGTGTTGTCACTACAAGAAATTTTCTGAGAAAAGGTTATTTTCATAGATTCTAAAAAGAGCAGAAAGACTGATGCTTTGAGGTCAACCTCTACAAAACTAAACAAAACATCCCAGATTTCAAAGCTTTCAATTTGCTGCTATGAAAACAGAAAGCAGCATCCAAAAGTGACAGGTACTGTAATATTTACAAGCCTTTGCCAGAGTGAAAGTTCCTTAGTTGGATGAATTTAGGGAATAAGATTTAGTTTACAGATACTTGGGAACAACTTTGGCTTGGCAGCTCTCCCACCCACATGCTGAAGGCTCACAAGTAACTTTGCCTTCGGAGTGCAGATGCAGAGGAATGTATGGTTCCATCTTGGTTCCCTCTGTTTCTCTCTCATGCAAACAGGAAAGGGAGACAGGGAGGATCCAGTGTTCCTGCTGACTACATGACACTTGCATGGGGAGATGAAGGAAGGGGCAAATAGTAATTTCTCTGACTTTGTATTTAGAAAGGACCACCTGGATCAACAAAAAGTAGCAGAGAACACTCTCAGCATCGCAAAGTGCTCCTGCTGAGTTTGCATAGCACTGGCATTTTCTCTATCAAGAAGGCAATTCTAGCCCACTGAGACCTCTAAAACAGACCATTAGTTCACAGCCAGACCTGAGGACAAATGAATCCTCACTCAACACTTCAGTAGAGCCTACAGCTAGAAAACGGCTGCTCTGAGTTTAACTGCACACATTGAAATCCTAAAGAGAGCTGCAAGTTAAAATAAAAAGTCCTCCAGCAATCATCCTCTCCTCCTTCCCAGGGTGGTAAACACATGCTAAAGCTTTCTCTCATCATCCAGCTCCCGCTATCAGAATGACAGCAGTCTCTGCACACCTTCTCACCCAATGGCTGAGAGTCAATTCAAAACTGATTTACATCAGCTTGGCACTACACCATGCAACCCACACAGAGCAAATGACCCCCAGTGGTACACTGAGCCTTCCCCCCCTCCTGCTGAGTAAGCTGCTTTAGTGTGGACTTACTGAGCTGTGCTCAGGTGCTGGACTCTTGGCACTGTCACCATGTCTTTGCAAACCAGCAGCGACAAGACAGCATGGGAAACCATTGCCAAAAAGAACAGTAAATATTCACAAACAAGTAAACATAACAGTCGAGAGATGAGAAGGGCATCATGATTCTGGCTCCACTGCTGCCCCTTTGTACTGATGCTCCAGCCTAACCCTCCAGTCTAAAACCCAGCACTATTCTCATTTGCACCCGAGAGCCCAGTGTGAACAAAGCACTATAATAAAAGCAGTCTGAGAACTACTACAGCATGAGGCCACAGCCATGTCACCCCTCCTGCTAGCTCCATTGGCCATACAGCCCTAGCAGAAGTGACTCTGTCAGGACACAGACATGGTATAACCCAAAACCTGTGCATGGAGCTGGTGCCGTTGCTTTTCAACCATCAGTACTCAGCTCTGTGCTGTGCTGCGGAGTGGAAGAGTCTTCTTCTAAAACATCAAGTTTGGAAAAAACTCTGCCTCATCTTCCACCCTTGGCTATGCACAAGTGACCTTAAATTCCAAGAGATTATTATGTATTCAGTTTCTGATCTTTTCACTTTGGATCGGAAACTAAAAATCTGGCACTCCTTCTCTCCCTTTGGGTGCATACATGGCATCACACAATAAGCAGATGACCACAATTACTAGCCCTATCTTCCTTCATGCAGCCTGTGCTGGACCGAAGATATCAGCAGGAAAAGTCTGACCATAAGTCTACAGACTGCTGTGAATTAAGATTCTGTACACTGCTATAGTGCACATTTAGAGAATGGTATTTCTTTATTTTCTAAGCACCTGGTTGTCTCTGAGAGTCCTGCCTTTGAAATATGGCCACACCTCCAGGTGAACCCTGTCAGTTCCAGAAGTGCCAACTTAACAGCAACAAGGAAAGATTCTTCAGATCAGAGTGTTCAGCTTTCACTTCAGACAAATAACAAAAGTATCTGTAGCACTTTTGCTGTTAAAAACAACATATTATAATTAAATTTAAAAGTCAAAATTCTGTCACTCTGTTCCTCCTCCATCTTTGTCCTCATTTTTACTGCATGCCTTAGCACAAACTTTGTGGTATCTGTTTTTCATATTTGCCTTTAGATATTCTCCCTTATCTTCAAGATTATTTGATCTCAGAGGGAGTTCTCTCTCTCCTGTTTCTTATATTCTGTATTTTTTCTCACTCCCATCCCTATCTCTCATCTAGGCTGTTCATTTTTCCACCGTTATTTCTTTCTTTCAGTGCTTCCTACACTTTATCCCTCCTATCACCTCTGAATGGAGCTCATGGCTGGAGGGATAACGTTCATTGCAAGTGCAGGGGGAGTGTTGCAGTGCCTGAGGACAGCAAGGAACTGGCACTAACAGGTGACAGGCAGCAATCACAGTAGCAGGGCTGGCACACCCTGCTGTGGGGTGAGCTGTGTCAGAGTGCTGTTCCATTCCCATGGAAACAACATCATTATGAGGGCTTGACTGATGAGGGCCAGTTTACAGGATGGGTAACACAGCTAACCAACAACAGAGAGGTGAAAGAGCACCCAAACCAGGGTGTCGGTGCCAGCAGGGGATTATTCCAGATGAAGTTCAACAACAGTGACAGGAGCAATGGGATGTGAAGATGGGAAAGATGCAGACTAAAAACTGGCTGGGGAAAAGTAATTTCTGGCAGTGAGAATTGGTGGAATACTTTGTGCTCAGGACTTGCTTTAGTAAGAAATGCTGAGTAATGCTTCTCTACTCAGGGCACCTGGTGGCCTGCAGACAGCCTGCCAAACAGCCACAGGATACCCAAACCCCCAGGAGAAGGCACAAGAAGCCAAACACTCAACACATACTCCCATTTAGTAGCTAGGCAAAATGGATAGAGGAAAAATAAGAGTAATACATGGCTGCTCCCAGCTGAACCAAATTTTAAAAATCAATTGAAACCACTGGGACAGGGCTGTACAAGACAGTCCTGGGATGGTTTCTGATAAGGGTAAATACCGTATATAAAAGCCACCTTATAAAAGGTAATACCTTATATAAAAGTTTGAGAAGTACCAACACAGAGGGTAGCTGTGGATGACTGTGGGGAAAAAATAAACCACAAGAGAAGAAAAATCTATTTGTATTTCTTTGGTCCTTATGATTTTGGACAGGTAAGAAAACAAATACTAGATTACAGATTCAATGCCTTGCATTCATAGATAAACAAACTATATTTATTTGTCTTCAGAAAGAGAGTTTAAAGAGAATTTATGGTCATCTGTGAGAATAGCTCAAAACCTGTGTCTAGAAAAGAAATACAATGAGAAAGCCATTGCCTATTAAATTTCAGATTTACTGTCTAAACATGTTTCCCTACCTCATAATTCACCTTCCTTCACCTAGCCTAGGGAT